GGGTAGACAAATATAGGTTGGGGGCCTAAAAAAAAAAACAGAAAAGGAATAACTGATCCCTATATCTATGCAACCCGATGTCGTTAACCTTTGATATTTCAAACAATGACTTCTAAAATATGAGATATCACAAGTTTACACTGTTAATCAAGAAGAAACGGGGAAAGAGGTGAAATCAATGCTAAAATAAAGTAATTTAATGATTTTTGAATTCCTCCAGTTTTCCTTAAAGGCATCGATAAACTTCTTGAAATTTGAGAACTCTTGAAATAAAATAAAAATTTGATTTTGTTGATTTTGTTTAATTATGTAAAATAGGAAAAAGCCTGTTTTATAAAAAAAATCAAAGATTTCATAACATTAGAAGAAAATTATTTTGATTAAATTTGGCTTTGCACTTTCTGTAAAATGACCATAGGAATAAAATTATATTTATACATTAATTAAAAATCCCATATTTAACTGCATTAAAGTAAATTATAAAGGAAATTGAGTCTTTGCCACAAACTCTGAATTTATATTCCCTATCTTTAAATCCCTGTGTGGTAGACCATAGATTTCTCAAACTATGATTACTGTTGCATCAAATAATCTTAGTTTGAAAAAACAAAGGTTTGAACCATCAGGCTGCAAAGATATAGGGATTAGAAAAAACTGAATTTGTGGCAAAAACTAAATTCCTTTAGAATAACTTACTCAGGCAAGCCTCACAATCTCTATCTGGTAAATGATACGGGCTACAGTAAAATTCTCTGAAATATCTAATTTTAGGAATCCTTATAATATTATTTCACTAATATTGTTATTGTGTAGATCTATAAAGAACCCTTCAGATAGAAAAGATGAAAATAAGAATATTGACAGAGTATCAAATATTGAACAGCTCTTCTTTGAACTGCATTTGATTGATCAATAAATCTGTAATCAACTTTAGTGAATAATCTCGCAGTCTTCATCAGGATGAGAAAAAAAACCTAAGTTAAAAACATAGAATATGGCATGGTTATAATGAAAGGAAAGTTAATTGCAGTTGCGTACACTCTGCGTACATATTGAAACCAGTTCTCTCTGGGCGGAATTTGTAAACATGTCAGGCTGGGACATCCAACTTGCGTTTACATTACCGCCCAGAGACAGTACACTGCAGTACAAAAGATGCGTACACCTCTGAAATAACTTTCCTTGCATTAGTACCTTGATGCATTTCACCTTACACGCGGCAGCTTCCCTCTGATTTAATCCTTGTCCCTCCCAGTGAGCTGTTACTTTCGATCCCAATAATACCAATTCAACGTAAATTTTCCTTTTTTGTTCTTTGCTGTGTTTTATATAAAACAGGAGTACAAGAAAAGACAGTTTAATTTTAGACCAAAACGTGATAGAATTTAAGTTGGTAAGTCTACGCCTTCTTAGAAAACGGTTCTAGGATTTCTCTAATAAAAAAAAATGTTAAAGCTGGATCCGTTCCAAAAAACTAAAGAAAATCAATAACACTTTACATTGACGATTCCTTTGATTAACAAAACACACCTGCATTACAGTACAGTTCAGTACAGTACGGTACAGTACAGTACACCTTTATTAGGTTAAATGTATCTATTGAACCACATTGACCCTGTTTAAAGACACTCGTAGATATATCTTTTAAGTATTAGGCGAACAGAACGTTTTTTACCTTTGCTTTTTGGGCACTGATTTCATGCAGACAGAACAAGGCTTAAATCCAAAGCTTCCCAAGTTTTTTAGTTTAAATATTTTGTTTTGTTTCCTGAAATAATATTCATTAAAAGGACTGTGTTCCTAAGTTCCTCCATTTACCCTTAAAAATGAATGAAATTTCCATGATTTTAACTTTTTTTAACTTGAATATTTTTAATGGTGGTTTCTTTGTTAAACTGGCTTTCTTGCTTCAGGAACAATGGAAAAAATTATGACACCTTTCGTGGAAAGAAACACGACGACATTTTCCACAGACATAATCAGAGAAAGGTTTAAAGGGTAGCGGTGTGAATCGGACATAGTCCTCTTTAAATGGGGGGGTTACGTGAAATTACAAAACATTTCGTTTAAAGGGAGTGACCGGCTATGTAAGGTAGTTAAACTGAGTATGTAGTGTTGTGGAAAACTTCTTTCGGATTCATTTGAGACATATTAAACTTTTTAATATCTGTAAATCCTGAGTTTGAGCGCAAATTCGACGTTCAAAACTCCTACTTTGGGGGTGTAATGCAAGGTTGTAATGCAAGGAAAGTTATTTCGGAGGTGTACGCATATTTTGTACTGCGTGTACTGTCTCTGGGCGGTAATGTAAACACAAGACGGATGTCGAAGCCTGGCATGGGATCCGTCTTTCACATAAAAAATCAATGAAATAATCTGGTCATAGAAAAATACCATGTGAATTATCAAAATTATCAAAATTATCGAAATTTAATGCTTTTAACCCCCTCGGATACTTATCGAACAATGATGCATCTATTATTATTTACAAATTCCGCCCAGAGAGAACTGGTTTCAATATGTACGCAGAGTGTACGCAACTGAAATTAACTTTCCTTGCATTACATCTTTGTGTACTAGAATCTATTTGGGAACGCCCAACTCAGATATACACATGTTATTGTACTGTACCCTGTGGGAGGAATGTAAACAAAGTTACAAATCCAGTGCCCCCACAGAAGTTGAAGGGAAAGGAGTAAAGCTCTGATGTGATATTACAGTCCAGCAAAAAAAAACAAGTTAATCTATCAAGATAGAGCGAATACTTATGATTTTTGGCTTTCTGGTCAATATGGAAAATACAATAGCAGTATATTCTTATTCCACCCCTTGGGCCCTTTTCCCTCAAAAATGATGTGTTGCCCCTGAATTCTATGTTTTGATCTCCTCCCACTGCAGTACACAGATTTGACGCATCAGATATGGCGGTTCCTGGTCTATATATTTCTTTGCCCCTGGGGTCTTAGGGCGCTCTTTTTACTAAATAGTAACATTTTTATCTTTAACATGTTGCGTTTTAGGCCGCACATTTTTCTGTTTATTCACTATATATGTTATTCAAAAATAGTTTAAAATAAACACATTTTTTTTCGACCTGTCTTGTGATATACCACAAAAACTCAGACATTGTTTGTAAATGTGAAATTGAATACTTTTTACCTGAATTCTTTATATCTCGGTAGACCATGGTCTCGGCCTCTAAACTCAGTAAGAAAATCCAGCGAATAAAAATTAAAAGATGGTGTACCGTGTATTGTGTATGCACTATATAGTGTACACTGCACTAGCTATGTACTTTATGTACACTGTACAGCACACTTTAAACACTGTACACTGAAAACTGTCATCATGTCATGAGCTTGAAAAAACTAAATTAATAAAACATTAATAATAATTAATAACTAGCAGAAGGGCCCGGCTTTGCCGTGGAAAAAAATACATTTTTTAAAATTTGGAAAAAATATTTTCGAATTTATTTAGCCTATAACACCCCCGGCCACCCCTGAGTGTCCACAAAAAATTTAAGCCCTATTGGTCCAGCTGTTTGTCTTGTTTTATTATATAGATAATATGTTTTAAAATCTTAATCCCCAGTGTAAATCTATTTAACACGAAAGACTTTCACAGATTTTTGGAGAAAAATTCATCCAGGCAACGCCATTTTGATTGAAAAATTTGGTCATTGGAATTTCCATCTTTTACAAGAAGCTATTTAAAAGAGCCAAAGGGACTTTAGGCGTAATTTCAAATGACACCATTTCTAGATTCACGATTCACAACGGTACCCTTAAAAACTTTGTCTGATCAAAGGTTGCAATTATGCAGTAACTTGCGCATTCTTGTTACAGAAACAATGTCGAGGAAGTTTTTCAAATTAAATGCTTCTCAAGCTTGAAAAACGTGAAAAATCTTCCAAATTATTGATCAGATTTAGGTTTAAACGGTACCATCGTAAATCGTCCCTTGCCCCTCAGTTCTAAATGGAAGGTCGAAACTACGTCTAGACTCTAGAGTATAGAAGGGTATTAAGGAGTTTCCCTCTGAATATTTCGGGAACTAAGGTCTGAAGATTCTGCCTTCTCCTTCTCATCTACAAAAGAGAAAATTATTCTGCAATATTTTCATACAATATTGACAAACAATATTTAATTTACTTTTAACAAATTGCTAACTAGCTGAAGCGCCCGGCGTTGCCCGTGGGGTTTTTAAAAAATCAAATTTTCAAAATAAAAAATTGATTCTTGCAAAAAAAACAATTTTATTTTTGAAGAAAATAAATTTGATTTTTGAAAAAAAAATCGATTTTTTAACCTATGTTACCCCCACGGTAGCCATAGGTTTCCTCAAAAATTTCAGCCCATTCGGTTTGGCCAGCTATAGATGACAAATATATGTTAATGAGTGAAGAGCTTTATTATATTATAGATAGAGATAATGATTATTTCATTATAACTATAATTAACAAATAAGTTTCTTATTTTTATCAGTTTGGGGAAATCTAATCAAAAACAAAAATTATTTGCTTCCCCAAATTTCAAGATTTCTGAGAATATTTGTTTAATTTTTACGACGAAAATTTTGTTTTTTAAGTATTCTTGGCGGGTTCACATAAATATTTATCGCGGATTTTGGAAAAGATGACTATGCACTGTATTTCCGGCAGCCAAAACCAGACGTCCTCATAAGGCAGTTTATTTCTGATTTATTTTTCTATAAGGAAGATGAGCGTATGCTTACAACCAGTACTCAATATATTATACTTTAAGTATGGTGGTTAACATTCTTAAAAAAGGAAGGAACGGTTTTGTTTAAAAGTAGCAAGGTAAGTTTAAAAATATTTTAATGGATTAGAAAATTTATTTTCATTTGTCGTCTCTCTACAAAAGTGACTTGAGCATTTCTTGCTTCAGGAACACATGTAGAAATGATCAAAGGAAATGAGTTTTTGTCACAAAATCTTATTTTCAAATTTTTATATCTTCTAAACCAAATGTCGTAAACCTTCGATATTTCAAACTATGCATTCTGTTCAACCAAATAGTCTTAGTTTGAAATATTGAAGGATTACGGTATTAGGTTGAAAAGATATAGAGGTTTAAAATTTGAGTTTGTGAAAAAGACTCAATTCCTTTAAACACTTTTCAAGTTAGTTAAATACAAGGTTATCTTCATGTCTCTTTAATACGATCCCTCTAGTAAATATCTACACAAACACAAATCTTACTTTTTTCAAGTGAACGGAGTTCTTTAGAGAGGAACAGGTTATTGATTAGATCATTGTTCAGAAAAGCATCGTCAGCTTGAGCTGGAATATTCAAAAGTCCAAAAAGAATATTCTAGAAATAAAAGAATTCATGGGGTTATTTTTTTTTCTTTCTCAAATTGGAAAATTCTTGAAAATTACACAATTTATCTTCTTCAGCCAGTTTGATCACATATAATGCAGGTGAACTAGGGTCAATTTTTAATCAAACCAAACCGACCCCTTGTACTGGCCTTTGTGATGCGCGGCAAGTACCGGCACAACCTGGTGCTGGCTAAGTTTCAACTTTGATGGTGCGGCTGGACTTGTTAAAGTATCCGGCCTATCCCACTAGCTTAGTTTAATGTGATGTTGGACCAGAAATTTTCATAAAGTGAAGAGACTAAAATTGTGAACTTCTTAAATTGATTGATTGATGGATTGTTAAAATCCAATACTTACATCTGCCCAATAAGTACATGTTTGGTTGGTACAACTAAATAATAAAAAGGTAAAGTTAATAAAAGAATATTAATAAAAAATGTGAACCCAATCTTTAAATTACTTCTAACTAATCAATTACAGCTTTAGACCCCCCACCCTTCAACCACACGCACACCGTATTTGCTGTAATAGTATTTAGCTCCGAAAAGAATGTTGCAGGGCATTACAGTTCAAGTTGCGCTTGCGCGCTCATATTCCTTAAATAATACTTTACCTGCCCGTTAAATCATCATCATCCTGACAGGTGGTGTTTACACAGTTCATCTGTAACATGCAACAGCGGGATCAATTTAGATCAGCATTAATACAGCGGGACCCATAAAAGTGCGTTCATGAAGCAATCCATTTACTTTTAGATTGAAAATCATCCTATGAAGAAATATGTACAGTGCATAACTGCTGTATTTCATGTTCCTTTTAAAAATCATAATATGAGTCAAAAGTCATCTTTCTATTTCACTGTTTTACAGGTCACCCTACAACTGTTAATATGTCAAAATCGATCTACGTAACAAAGAATTTTAAAAGAAAATCTAAATTTTAAAATAAGCTTCATGGTGTGAACTAAACACATTAGAGGACATTGACGTTTTTTGATAAATTCTGTGATATTTTATATTTCAGTGCATTTTAAATTAGAAAAAAATTATTCGATATTATTGAGAAAATGTGTGATCTTTAGAAATTAGAATGATTATCTTTGATCAATTTCAATAATTTCTTGGGAAATTGTGTTCAATTAAATTACTAGTTAGAAGTAGTTGAACTTCGAACACTAAATTGAACCACTTTTATCTTAATTCATAATCATAAGTTTTAAGCTGAACTATAGAAAAGATAAAATTTAAGCTATTATTAGAAATAATCTGAAACCTCTAGAATTGAAACTCTTACCAATTCATTATTAAAGAAAGCATTACTGAGATCAAACGAGAACATCTTTTTAGTTTTTCTTCGACGTTCGGTGATAGTAAACTGTGTACCAACTAGAGAGTGACCAAACCTAATAAAAACAATTTTTTTCATTTAAATTTTAATAATATAACAAAGTTTTACCTGAAGGACACAGTTGAAAATTCGTTGATAATGCTTGGGTTTAGATTATCATCATATTTTGTATCTTAAATAAAAAATGGAGATTTATGTAATGTGTACTCTTTTATGCTTGGTGGAAATTTTCTGCATGTTAAAATGGACAGCAGGCGTAAATTTGTGTGTGAATTTTTCTACCTGTTGAATTAAGAAAAAGATCAAATTCTTCCATCATAGCAGGACCAAGAACTAATAAAAGAATATATTGTTTATTTTAAAGCCATTTAATTATACTTTACAAAGGGTTCAACACATCAATTTGACCTTTTAAACATCCAGAACCAGTAAGGGATGATTTGCAGGATAAAAAACCTTTTAAAAGAATTGAGTCTTTGCCACAACCTCAAATTTTTCTAACCCTAATGTTTTCGCAACCTGATGGTGTAAATCTTTGATATTTCAAATTTAGAATATTTAAAATTGGTATGAAATAAAGGAAATCTATAGCCAGAAAACTGATGTTAGTAAATCTACAGAGTATAGGAAAAAATGTATTTACAAGTAAAAAATGAACAAATAAAATGATACAAAATGATACTAATGAATCATGGAAAGCCGGAGCTCTCTGTCAGACCCTCCGCCTTTCATTCGCCTCGCACGACGAGTGAATCATCTGTCTTCCGACCCTTCGTGATAACTAACTCCATTTCGGTTTTATCCCAGGCAGATCCTATTTTCTCCTTCTCAGCCGTGGTTCATGACTATTGGCTTGAATTTAAACTAGAATATGGGGCAATGGTGGCTTCGGTTTTCCACGCCATCAAACATGCAATCAAAGCATGTTTTCTGGGTTGGCATTTTCTATGGAACAAATATTTCTCCACGTTATAAAACAGGTGACTTATCATCAGCCCCACTTTCCGTCCGACCTATAGCTATATACAAAAGAGCTAATACGTTGTCCTATTTATAGCCTGACTACTTGCAATCCGAGCTTAGCTCTGGGTCCTTATGAGGACTGAAGGAGTTACATCCAATCTGAGTTTAACTTCCAGGTTTGTACGAAAATTGAAGGCGTTACATCAATGGAACTACCCCTATTACGAGCTATGGAGCTCACACCGGTTACATCCTCGTTTGATTCTGTCATCATTAATAGTAATGATTGATGACAGAATCTACATCATTTCTGTTCTCTCTACCAACTGAGGGTTGAGTTCTCCCTTTGTGTCTGTAATCCCTCAGGATTATTTCCTTATTCCTGTTTAACTTTTTTTCCATTTAGAGATGAAACACATTTTCCATTGTTTCTCGGGTTTCCAGATTATGATTTATGTATTTGATTCTTGAAGATCATCTTTCGGTCCTTGTTAACTCTTGTCTTCCCTGTAGGTGTTTTAACTTTGGCAATTATTTCCTCACTTGGAAGAAAATACAGTTTCATTGTTTCCTGAGTCTCAGGATCCTCATTGTGCAATATCAGGATCATAGTGACTCTATATCTCATAAGCTGAGGAACATTAGTGGTTCGGTTCCACTGTCCTGGCTCCTGCTCTAGGAGAATTCAAAGATATAGGGATAAGAGTTTGTGGCAAAGACTCAATTTCTTTGGTTGATAGACAAAACAGAGCATTAGGTAAATATTTACTTAATTTTGAAAACTTGGGGTCAGTCATTTTTCGTCAAAATTTGAATTAAATATGATATTGCTTACCAACTGGTAAGAACTCTGAGTACACTACCAGCTGTAATTCTGCTTCAAGAATTCTGTAAGTATTGAAAAAAAAGGAATTGAGTCTTTGTCACTAACTTAATTTTCTAACGCCTATATCTTTGCAACCCAATATCATAGACTTTAGACTTTTTAAACTTTGTATTCTGCTAGATCAAATAATCTAAGTTGGAAATATAAAAGGTTTACACCACATCGAGTTGTAAAGATTTAGGAATTAAAAAATTTGAGCTTGTGGCAAAGACTCACCTATACTTTGTTTTAAGAAATTCCTAGATAACTTTTATTCATGTATTGTTAAATGAAATAAAAGTGAAAATGTTGTTTTATCTTCACAAACTTTCTTTTCCTGGAATTTAACAGTGTAAAACCAGTAATTGGAAATCAGGCATTCTCCTTAAGCTTTTATGTTCTTTAAGAAACAATATTTTAAATCCGTCTAATTTTGTACCTTCTAGTTTCTTGGAATAAAAATTCATCTCTAGCTTTTATATCCATTTTTTTCTCAGTCATATAGTCTAAAAACAACATGTCTTATTTTGTTTTTAATATTCAGGGTTATCCATACAGAATGAGACTGTAAAATCTTATTTACTATTTTAGCAAATTTGGTCCAGCTAATGCCATATTTAGAAATTTAAATGTTTACCTTGAATTGGCGGTTGTTTTCGTAAATAGTGAGCAATTCTGAACAAAATATGCTAGAAACATTTTTCTTTTCTTTTAATAAATAATAAAATCAATATCAAGAATTGATGAAATTAATTTTGTATTTTTAGCAGAGATATTAAAACTATTTTTATAGTATTAATAAAAATTAAGTTTAAATAAATGTCTAATATACATCGATGTTAAACCAATGAGAAAATTGATGATTGACCTTTTGTGCTGGTTTGACTAATGACCTATAAAGTTCATCGAACACAGACCTACTCTGTTCATTGACCACTGACCAATTATGTTCATCAAACACTGACCTATTATGTTCATTGACCACTGACCTATAGTGTTCATTGGCCACAAACATATTATGTTCACCGAACACTAACCTATTGTGTTCATTGATCACTGAACTATTATATTCATTGACCACTGACCTATAGTGTTCATTGACTACTGACCTATTATGTTCATTGACCACTAACCTATTGTGTTCATTGACCACTGACCTATTATGTTCATTGACTTCTGACCTATTGTGTTCATTGACCACAGACCTATTATTCTCATTGACCACTGACCTATTTTGTTCATTTACCACTAACCTATTATGTTCATTATACACTGACCTATTATGTTCATTAACCCAAAGTGTGTGCATAACAGCCAGTCCTGGATGTTCAACAACTCTTTGATCTCCAGATATCTGAACATTAATTAAACATTGAACAGATATATGAACATTAATTAAACATTGAACAGATATCTGAACATTAATTAAACATTAAGCAGATATATGAACATTAATTAAACATTAAACAGATATATGAACATTAATTAAACATTAAACAGATCTCTAAACAGTTATTAAACATTTTAAACAGTTAATAGGTATTTTTTTTTTTGCCTTTTTTCTTATATAATTATAGTTGGGGCGGAGGCGTTTTAAATTGAAAAACACCAAAAGACAACTCCGCAAGTTTAACGGGTGTTGAAATAGACCAAAACTCAATTAAATTCAAATATAAGATACCGAACACATCCCGCGATTCAAAAACTTCGGCTTGAGCCTTAATTCCTTAAACCCAACTTTAAGACCCGATCTTCGACCCAACTCTGACGACAGCTGTGTCTGCACATGATTGATAGCTGGCAAGATCTTCGGCTCGACTTGCGGAGTTAGGCCCAATGAAAATAATACCAACCTTGGTTGGTTTTAGTGGAGAATGTTGAGACCTATTCTCATCAAAACACGGAATGCGCCGATTCCTACCATAAAAATCCGCCAAATAGAATATTAAACCGGTTTGTTGAACTCAACTCTGTGGAAAATAAGATGCAGCTTGAATCCGAAAGCTCAAGCCGTAAATAAGGCCCAACATCGTAGCTTCTCTAGTTTTGAAAAAAGTAAAAAAAACCATTTTTGTTCTTCTCACTAGCTCTTCAGTTCATGGAGATATAATGGAACATGTGGAAATTTCTTATTTTCAGAATGTATTCTACTGCAATCTGCATGATGATGAGTCGCTGCGCATCTGCATTCTGCATGCTGGTTAAAAAGAACCTTTTCTTCCAATGTTAAATTAATTTTTAAAATTAAACAAATGGCTAAACTACGCGTCATGAACGTTTAGTATAAAAAGTCAACCCACTTATTTTAGAACCTTAAAACAAAGTCAAGAACATGCCCATGGTTCTCCTCAATCTAATTTTGAGACAAATCGGTCCAGGGGTTCATGAGTTATGATCGGACGCAGAAACAAACAGAGATTACTACTTATATATATATATATATATTGATACTTATTATAACATATCATATAACATATCATATAACATATCATATAACATATCATATAACATATCATATAACATATCATATAAAATATCATATAACATATCATATAACATATCATATAACATATCATTAACATATCATATAACATATCATATAACGTTCTGCAAAGAGTTCGCTTCACAAAAAACTTAAAGGGGTTAAGATGAATTAAAATTTTTCTTTTTAATCATGTTTTTTTTAAATAGTTATTTACAGGGAAGATACTAAAATTTAAGGGTTCCCCGGGGTTAAAAAGTTTAATTTTCCCAAAAATTAGTTGTAAACAATTTTCGTATTTTGAGATGAAAATGCGCGATTTTTTTCACGAATATGCGCCGAGTGGGTCGTAATTTACTTAATTGTCCCAAGAGATTTTAAAAACCTTAACGTCCCTCTGTTGAGGAAATTATATGGTCGGTAATCTTGTTCAAAATAATAACGATGATTAAAAATGTAAATGTTTTTGTATCATGTGATTTGTGTAATCTGTTATTAAATATAAGTTAAAATAAACTACCGACTTTTCTAATAAAGATTAAGGTTGTATAAAGTGTCCATATATCATATTACAGAATAATGCAAAAACTAATTAAAAGATATAATTACCATAATCGGTTTATTAAATTCTAACTTTTATTATCAAAACTTCATATTGAAATTTGAAGTACAAAAATTTTTTTTTTTCAATTTGGTCAACTTTTTTAAAAATATATCTATTTTAGATTTATTTGCTGTGCTAAATTTCTAATAATAGATTAATAAAGTAAAAATATTGCAGCTGAGCTGAAAACTTTAGAATGGTGGATATCGAGATGAATGCTTGATCGTCTCTTTTTCTTAATCTCGAGACTAACCTATTCTTAAAAGTGTATTTGGCGCGCCATGTAAGATTAATATAAAGAAACGGGAGGAATTCTCTAATTTTAAAAAAAGTCGGTTTATGATTTTTCTCTGCTATATCCAAGAAAGAATGGTTTAAGAAGAAAATCAAAAGTGTGTCCATTGGATACTCAGATTAAGTAATCGGGATTAAGAATATCTCATTCTAAAGTTTTCAGCTCTGAGCTGAAAACTTTAGAATGGGATATCCTTAATCCCGATCGGTTAATTAATCTAGAGATTAACAACAAGAGGAGAACAAGCAATATTTAATCTGGAGATTGAGAAAAAGAGGAGATCAAGCATTAATCTCGATATCCACCATTCTAAAGTTTTCAGCTCTGAGCTGGGATTAATGCTTGATCCACTCTTTTTCTTAATCTCCAGATTAAATATTGCTTGTTCTCCTCATGAATTTAATCTCCAGATTAATTAACAGATCAGGATTAAGGATATCACATTCTCTAAAGTTTTCAGCTCTGGTTGTATTAGTATAGATCTGAAAATTTACCTTAAGATGTCCTTCTGTTTTTGCAAAATTTCCTCCTTCTCCTACTTGGGTTCTAAACAGAAAACATTAGAATTCAGTACTAATTTGCAAAAATATGACAGGGCAGGATTTTATCTAAATTAGCAAAACATAAAATGTAGAATAAACATTTCTCTCTTAATTTAAACTATTTAAAGGCAGCATTCAAGGCAAAACACTTTTATTTTAACTTTAATTTCGATTTGGGATTGTCAAAGGAACTGATTCCTTGCCAAAAACTCTGATTTTCAATACCTATATCTTAGTTTGTGACAAAGACTTGCTCCTTTGTAGAGTCTTAAGTTGTCTTATAAGTCTCATCCTTTGTGGGCAACCCTGTATATTTTCATCATTTGTGATCAGATGAAGGTTTAAAGGGTACAGTTGTGAATAGGGAATGTCATTCTGATCACTCTTAATAACTGCTAGACGCTAGTCCAGCGCGGCATGGCAAACCGTGTCTGTTAAAAAAATCCCCTGAAGTATGATGAAAAATCTCCAAACCCTTATTTTTTTAATCTTCAAGAAATCCCAAAAAGTTCTGAAAATCTGAACAAAAAATTGAACCAAATGAGTCAAATTTATTTTATGGTCAGAATTTAAGTTATTTTTCAACTAATTCGTAAAAATCTCAGAAAAATTTGCATTTTTAAGAAATTTGAAAAATCCCTTACATTCCCAGGCACTTCTAAAATGCCCGAATCTGCACTTTTTGAGAACAAAGCTGAATTTTAGTCCCTTTAAGTAGGGCTGGGTAAAGTTCTGTTAACAGAACGAAGGTTTTTCGAAAATTAACGGAAGATTCCGTTAAAGAACGGCAAAAACCGTTAATTTTTAAATCGTTTATGAAACGGTTTAGCCGTTTGGAAAAAAAATAATAAATTAACAGTTAAAAACGAAAACGGTACGGTTTTTTGTAAACAGTAAATTTTTTATTTCTACTTGAAATTGCATCAAACTATTTAAAGAAATATATGTTTTTACATGTTTTAATGTTGTCGTACGTCTATGTTCATAACCTTTATTGCTGAGAATAGAGAATAGAGTTAACCTTTGAATTTTGATAAAAAAAATGGAGTTTGTCCAGCCTTGAAAGAATCTGGGTTCTCCTCAGAATAGAATAAATATAGTTGATTTGGATATCTAGAATAGCTGATTAATAAAGTGCTAAAGTGCCGTTAATGATTTGACAAACCGTTAACACCGTTAATACTACAAAAGAAAGTTAACAGCTGCACTGTTAACAATTTTTTAGGAGCTTTGCGCCAATAATACTGAAATAGACTGTTAGTGAATGCGCCGTTAACAATTTTTTAACCATTAATGAGTGTTTTTTGGTGCTACGCTGCGCTAATTAAAAAACGGTAAATGCCGTATAACAAAACGAACGTTATGTTCTTACCTTTAAAATTAACGGCTACCTGAATTTATTTTTATTTTTTAACAGTTGGAACTAATTGTTAACGGAAGGGCTAGAAAAAGTTGGAACGTTCACAGCTCGGGCTGGGCACGTTCCAACTTTTTTAAATAGTTCCGTTCCGTGCTAAATTGTTCCGTTCTTGTTCCTTTTTTCTTGTATCGTTCCGTTCCGTTCTGAGTAGAAGAACGGTCTTCCCGTTCCGTTCTTGGCGTCCTTATTTAAAGAATGGTTCAATCCCTATCGTTCCGTTCTTAGTCAAAGAACGTTTCCATCCCCCCGTTCCGTTCTTAGTACAGAACGATTACCAAAACCGGGTTACCTTTAAACAAGGGGGTGTACAATTTGTAGATTTTTGTAAAATATTTAATTTTCATAATCAATATTTCAATAATATCAAAAAGAAATAGAAATAAATTATAGAAAACAATTTCT